TGTCCGGGCTTGCGTCCGACTAGATCCTTGTCCCTGAACCTCCGGCCCCTCAGCAGCTCAGGGAGGTAAATCGCAGGATGTGCGACTAGAAATATCTTGACTTTGCTTGTACAATTGCGGGCCATACTTCACGTGCCATGTTGAAACTCAAAAGATCGGGAACCATAACGTGCGGCTGGAAATATGTCGCATTTTCTAACAAATGAGCATGTTTGGCTATGTTCAAATTATACAAAAATTACGTTTAAGTAAGTTTTATCTCTAGAAAAGTAACTTTTGATTTTAAATTTGTTGTTTCATTTTTGTTATTGCAACACTTTCATATTTAAAGTGTCAAAATCTTAGAAGTTATAACTCAGGACAAAGAAGGGTAAGCTTGGACTTGTGGAAATTACATGAACTAATACATTTAGATATTCCATTTTCATAAATGTAGAGGTGTAGATCGCGATGGTGATGACACGAATCATGACTGTGGCGGCCCAAATTACATTGGTGGCTTTTTTTAATTGTTGGATGGGTGATAGTGATTTTCATGTTTTGGTGGTTATTACAGTGATGGTGGGATCAGGCGGTGGTACTGCTGGTGATTATGACAAGGTATTGACGATAATGGTGGCACTGGAGGCAGCGGTTCATGGGTGGTAGCTTGGTGGAGGCAATCAAAATTCACTGTAAGTGCCACCGGAGGCTCTGCAAATCGTGGTTGTAGTGGCATGGTGATGACACATATCGCAATTGCAATAGAGTGGTAATGACGATACGGTGGTGTACAAATGTGGGGTGCAATGATGTCATGGCGTGCAATACTAATGTTGTTGTGTTGTATGGTGGTGGTGGTATTAATTCCATGTTTTCGCATTGGAATTTTGAGGTGATTTTTGTTGGTGGATCTGGTGAATATGCCGATGTCACGAACAATGTTGGCATTAGCTTTTGGTGGTCACAATCTAGGGGCTACAGCTGGCAGTGCTTGACGGGAGATCTAGAAAATTTAGGTCCCCATATGTAGTCGTGGTGGTTGTGGCGGTGACTAATAATTTTTTTTCGGGGTCGTGGATTTGATGCAACGATATGGTGGTGTTCTTTGCAATGGTTTAATTTGTTTGAGGTGGTGGTGGTTCTAGTGACAAAGATGATGGTAGTGTTACTGGAGGCAATGTGAGATGGTCGTTACAAATTATTTAGTTTACTGTAACCATTAAATTAGTTAATCTATGAACAACAAACAATATGTGACCAATGAAAAAGATAAATTTTGACCAAAAAATAACGTATGATCTAAAATTTTGTTCATTTGTGATGGATAATTTGGGATTGTATAATAAGTTGTAACTTAAAATATATGTGATTTGTGCTCGATAAACAAATTATGACTTATAAATTTTTGATTTGTGATCGATGAACAAATTGTGACTTATAAAATTTTTGAATTGTGAACGTAAAATAATTTGTGATCTATAATAATTTTGGTTATGATCGAAAAATAATATTTGACTAATTAAATTGTTAATTTGTAATCAAATTGTATAGATATGTAACTTTAATATATTTAATTAAAAATATAATTAATTAAATCATAAATAATTCTTAATAGATATCAAATTTTTGACATTTGACACATTTGTTCGTAGTTTGGAAATATGTTATACTTAACCTCTTAGTTATAATTTTTTTTCGAAGGACTTTTGTCCGAAGCCCATTTAGATTTTTTAGGTCCTAAGAACCAATTTAGTATAAGAAAAATTCCTCCCGACTCCGCCCATGTTGCAATGATTTTGGGATGTTAAAGTATCTCTTCGGTTTAGCTTCGATGAACTTTGTCCATGTTTTGAAGAATTTTGTACTATCTTTGACCTATCGGTTTAGACTAAAAAGTTGGTAATTATAATACGATTTAGTGGGTATCTTAGTTCACTAAGATTTTAACATCTTAAAATTATAATGAAGTATCGTGATTTTATTAAGTGGACGCCCCAGTGAACAACAAAATTGGACATCATATTTAAAATCATAAATTTTAAGTTGCCAGTCGTAAGTAAAATATTTACTTATTTTTGAGTAGCTTTGACAGTACCGGCAAAACTAATAGTTTATGTATTTGTAAGTTTTATCAGTGTTATAATAATTTATTTTGGCACTTATTTACTTACAATTAAACATGCTTATGAGTGAATTTTTTGTGAACCTAGCCAAACACGCTCTTTCCATAGTTGTGTTTGTACAGAGAGAAACATATCTCTATTGGATTAAAAAAGCAACTTCACTTTTTATCTAGGAAAAAAATGAAAAGGTGTTTCCGACTTGTTTGTCACGAGCAGATATAATTAAAAGTTACTTTTTAGTCATTAGCGTGACTAATAAGTTGCAAGTTATTAGGTAACCATCGAAGTTAAAATTATTTGCAGTGTTGAAATATTTTTATGTTCCTTTGTAAAAGTGAATACAGTCTTGCTTTTTAGATTTCGTTTAATTATTTTCTGCCTAATTATTTGTAATTTTCGGACTTAGGTCCTTCAATTAAACAAATATGCACTGCTTAGCCAATCATTTTCCTTTAAAAAATTTATTAAATCTGTAAGAAATTACAATGTTACCTTTTCTAGAATTTCATGACTTAATGGATACTAATATATAGATAAAACGATGGTAGTATAAAAGAAATTTTAATATTAAGACGGTGCATCACTCTTTTTTTGTTGTGAAGAGTAGTTATCGGAATTTAGTTGTTCTATAAAATATTCGACATGATTGCGCTGGTACAGGTATCTAAAGATGGCTTCAATTTCGATCAAGATCAATACTTTGTAAAAATAGATTGATTTCAATCTGACAATCTTTATCCCTGTTTAAGCCCCCTTTTCGAGAAAAATAAGTATTAGAATAGTATTTTTTGAAGAAAGTGTGATTAAAAAATAGATAACAATTTTGAATTTAGGTATAAAATTACTTTATTAGAGATTGTATGATTGAAAATGAGTTTTGAAATAAATGGAGACTCAAACATAGGATTAGGTTGAGTTGAAAATTTAAATATCCATGAAAATCAAAATTTCTTTAATAAACTTGAATTCGATTTTTTGTGTCAATCGATTCTAGTTTCTCAATTTAATTCATCCCAATTGATAGATCAACTATGATTGAATTGGACAAATTTAGTCATTAGATATTACCTAAAATTTGTTCAATTCTTGCTTTGTTATTCATATCAATAAAGTCAATCTCGATCCTAATCATGTTAGCATCTGATATCTCTAAACTGTCCCTCCAATGAAAAGTAACATCAACCAAAATTTACACATCACTGAATTAGGTCCCGTTTGGCGGCCATTTTTTTCAAAATGCATTTTTACATAAAAATGACTCTCAAACACTCCTAAATGGGGCCATAGCTTATGTTAACGAAGAAATAACAGGGTTTAAATGCTATATTTAAGAAACTGAAAGCTAATAACAATCTTCTATTTCTTATCAGTTTTTTAAATTCATTTTTAATCACACAATTTAAGGGACTACGGCTTTTATCAATTTTTTAATCACAAATTTCGTCAATTTTTATTAAAATCTAATATCTCTATTTTTTTTTATCCGAAACAAATGGGGGCTCAAATTCTCCTATGCATGAGCAACTAAGCAAGGTAATGAAGGAGAACATTTAATTTCTAGTAATCCTTGAGAGTAAAAACTTAGTACTTCGTGTCATTATTTAATTAACATATATATTATTCGTCCATTATGCATCCCAAGTGAATAGTTAATTAAATAGTTGCATCTAGAAATTTTTCTTAAATTAGTACTTTATTAATCGTGAAATACGAAAAATTCTTAAATTAGTATCTTCTCTTGGATTGGTCGTGATGCAAATTCTAACATCAAGTGCCCAAATAGTAATTGGAGGATGGAGTCGAAGAAGAAGAATCAGATTATACACAAAACAACAGTGTACCAGACACCAATAAATTGTCCACAAATTGGAGCTATCAATTAAAAAGTTGCATGCAAATGGTATACTTCCTTGGAGAACAAAACTGAAGAAACCTTTGGTTCTTTCTGAATGAACTACTGTCATATATGTTTACATCGAAAAGGATAACTAGATTCGAGAGCATATCGAAGAAAATATGCATTTAAATTCAAACTATTTCAGCAATTGGTCAGTGTCGCGCACAATCTTTTTCGAGGGAAGCATAATTGTAGCCACCGGATTATATTCCAGGCCACCACCTTGATCTATTATCAATCTGAGTCCATTAATATGAAGCTTCCCGTGATCACAGCAGTTGGGATTTTAGACAATTCCTATCTAAAGTCTGCGCAGAAAAGATAATGTCATGTTATTTTTTATTATGTAAGAATTAAGCGAAAGTTGTAGCGAGTAATCACCTCAGGAATGTCCAATACGCTCTTCCTCTCACTGAGAGCTTCGACCTTAGGGATTCTTGTGTCTTTGGCTTTCAAATATTTTAGCTGCTCTTCAACACCTTTACTTTTCTCCAAACCGACGTGTACAGCCACCGGTTTACAATTTCGGAATCCTTCCTTCGTCTCTATGCAAACACCGTCCTCCAAAATTCAAGCAACACAAGTTTTCTGTCGGCTTTCATACGTTGTGTTAAATATTAAATTTAAATAAATAAATGTGTCTCTTCAAAATATTTTAAATTTTCTGTTGGCTTTCTCATGAAAATTGTGTGTGTCAAGCTTTCGATAAAAAATGAATTCAGCCTTCACATGAAGACAGACGCATGTAGAACTAATGTGTTCCTCTCTTAGTTTAAATTTTCATATGACATGGTTCGTTATAATATGAGCAAAGTTGCAAACCATTGATATGTCTCAAGTTTCTCCAACACGGTACACATCCAATGGAAAGCAATCCTTTACCAATTGATTCGTGCAAAGAAAGATACAAAAAGGAAGAAAGAGCAAAGGAGAAAGATCAATTAGAAGCTCACCTCTTCATGTACCCAAATCAAATCAGCAAGAAATTTCTTGTGTTCATCAAGAACAGCCTTGACCAAATCTGCATACAAGATAACCAGTCTTAACCGTGGCGTCTCCAGAATTAGTAGAAACGAAATTTCTGTTCTTTTTCAGGGTGGGAAGGGCTTTGAAATATGACATATTCAAACTGAATAACGATTGAACCAATTTGAAATTAAATGGCTGAGAAGTTCATACCGAATTAGGCAACCTAAACTGTCAACTGCTAATATGCTAATGCTATTATCAAACATGCTTACAAAATTAACAGAAGTTATCAAATTGCTGAATTGACATAGGATCTAATTGACAGGAAAGCATAGAATCTCAGCAAGCATAAGTAAGGACATATAAACTATCACCCTAGGAAATTTCTTGGGGAATTCTTGCTCTAACTTCAATATGTTGAGGCACTCATTAAATCAAAATTTCTCAACTTGTTTGCTGCAACCCGAGAGCAAATTTTGGAATGATATTACACTATTACAGTATTCCAATGTGCCTAATGTAGGACAATACTAAGAGAAAATCCAAAATCAGTTAGGAAATGAAAGAAATAAGACTAAGAAACTTGTGTTTAGCTCAAATGTTTTCTAGTTGTCTTTATCTTTTCTAAGTATAGTAGTAATAGAACTTTTATTTTTTATTTAATTAGGACTATAGTTTATTTATTGATTAGAATAGAAGTTTTAATTAGATTAGATTTTATTCATTTCCTTATTTCAATTTCCTAGTATTAGTAGAAATAGGTAATAATCTTGCCTATAAATATATAAGGGGTTTGTACACTTTTTTAGAGTTCAATTCATTATTCGATTCTCGATTAATAAGATATTTCAGTTTTTCAATTTATTGGAGGATTCCAAATAACTATAACATCCGTTCGAGCCAAATTCGAACAAACACCCATTTGTATGTTACGAATTAGATACTTTTATTATTATCCATGTTTCCGTCCTACATCAGTGCCAGTCCTACAAAATTACAGAAAACTTCTACAATCCTTCAGATTAATTTGCTAGGTTCCTCATAGCAAGAAGTGCAATTCTATCCTATAGATTGACACAGAGTTGTGACATTCGACGTGTTTAATTTAGGATTATAGATGACACATATAAAAATTTTGGAATTAATTTCTAAGAAAAATAAAAAGTCTGGGTACTAAAATCGCAATTATTCCTTTTCAATTTTGTAATTTTTATTGTTTTTAACGGCAAATCTGACAGATCTTGATGGCAATGAGTTTTCGCACAAAAAGTTTTAAACATAGGGGTTCTCTGTGATTTTTAATAGATAGTGGGATATATCGCACGTGAAAACCTTTTTAGAGGGATTTTCTAATATTAATCCTAATTTTATTGTGTGTATCTTTCTGTTGTCTAACTTGAGTTTTATCAAAGTTAGAATTGAAGAAATAAATTCTCAAAAATTTCAAATGTTTATTAAACTATAAAAATTCTCTACGTTGTCACTGAAGAACATCACTTTGACGTTTCATTTTGCTTTTCATGCACCTGTCTTCAGCACGGTTATTAAACCTGATTTGAGGTTATCTGCTTGTGGCATCATGAGAAATCAAGGGTGTAGCTCTTGGTTCAAGTCGAGTTGGGGCAAAGAAGGATGAAAATCATTCATGCTTGAAGTTGTTCCCAATGTTAACCTTCGTTGGCATTGAATTCATTAGTTAACATATGGCCTAAGGGAAACACTATACACCGAGATTCTCAACCTTTATTCTTAACACGTAAATCTCAGTTTTCAAATATACAACACTCGAGTCTTGAAGTAAACGGTTTTCTGCTAAAAAGGAGAGAGCAAAGCACCTGAAAGGATCTTTCATTTTTTAATACCATGTTTGGCTTAACTCATTTCTGAAAAGAAGCAAAATATTATCTGCTTCTTTCTTGCTTTTCTTGACACTAAGTATACTCACAATTGAAGATAAAAGCATTTCCTGAACATAATTCAAAAGCATTCATAGTTGTAATCATATAAAAACTGATAATTCTTAATCAGGTAAAGAGCCAGAATGTTTTTACCCCATTAGCCCTCCCAAACAAGAGACTCACAAACACCATACTACAGACTAGAGGCAAGATTTCAACCCTAAAGAGGATATCTATAAACCTCTTTTACATCGATTTGCATTTATCCCCAACGACACATGTATTTTGACTTGGCCCGTCACTGCAAACTCCTCAATCTCCACTTGCACAGCCCCCACATCCGCAGTGCATGCATTCTATAACCTTCTCCTCCCGTAAATGCTTTGGGACTCGGCAAACACACGTGGTTTGGAAGTTATGATCACGAGGTTGCATGCACCTTAAGCAGCAGAGCCTTTCATAGCCAGGCTGCAGTTCAAAACAATAATAGTTATAACCTGATTGTACAGAACTTGGAATGCAAGCATATGCCAGGACCTCAGGAGAAAACTACACAGCATACTTAGAAATTTTGCAATGACAGAAAGCAAAATTACCTTCTATTTCTAAAAATTTAGAAATTGAACAAGCTGAATTATGTCAAATCTGCAACTATTCCTCTTTAAACCACTGTTTTCTTTTGAAAGAGTAACATTTTGTACAACAATCCAGATTGCACGGGGAACTCAGAAAACAAAGCTAAAACGTGACAGAATTTGTATTTCCGGTATCATGATAAATATATGGACATTGTTCACAAACCTTTTTCCACTTTGCAATTAAGTTACGATCTGCATAACCCTGATCCAAGCAGAATTCATACAATTCCTTGGAAATCTCCTTCCTCCTGTGATAAAGGTCAAAAATGTAGCGACTTTTCTGATGGGCTATTTTAAAAATAGGCCACAAGGCCTCACATTTTCTTTTACCATCATGTGGATCATTCTCAGCTGCCAAGAAAATATTCGGGAAAAAAAAAAAAAAGTAACATTAAATAGGTTGACAACGATATAACGGGAAGACAGAAAAATATTCAAGGTACTTTGGTATGACAGAGAAAAAATGAGGACCTTCTCTCATCTGTGCTTGTAGTTCACGTAGAGTAGGTTCAATCAACTCCCAACCCTCAGGGTATTTTACTCGGTTAGTCTTCACCTTAGGCATGACTCCCTCTGAAATATATTCCAATAGGATAACAAGTTGTGTTGACTGGATTAATAAAAAAAAAAAAAGGGTTTCTGGGATGCCAAGTACCTATTATATTTTATGGAACAATTGAAAAGGAAATGTTCATTTACAAGCAGTTAATTCTTTAGAACGGAAATGTCTATGCACAGCCTGTTTATTATTGCTTGCTTAGACTAGTAATAAAAACAAGATTGCATTTCTTTATGCCTCTAACCTGGATAATTTCCTGAATAGTTTTTTTCATAATTTAAGAACTTTTACAACCCAGCACACAGAAATTTAGTCCTGGGTAAGCTCCGGAACAAGAAATCTCATTTTCGTTCCAAATTCCCAATGATTAAGGTACAAACTTTATCATGAATAGAATGACCTGTGGAGTTTACTTCTTTTGAATCTTGCATGGACCTTGAAATAAAGGGCTGCTAAAATTAAGTACCCCACCCATTTATGCAATCCACATCTTAAGGCCCACGCAATTACAATGAGATTGGGCAAAGGCAACTACATAAAATGCTCAAGTAATTGGTATGAATTTGTAGAAAGCTGTAAAAAAAAATAGTGACAAAGAAAATGATCAATCAATGACTAGATCAGAAACGAAATTATGAAACTAACTACATTGAGGAAAATGTAAAAGAACTCATGAGGAATGAACTGTAAATGCCAAGCAAGGTAAATAGCAAGTCTAGGGCTTACGTCCTATGGATCTCCATAGAAGCAAAGCAAGAATACATTCAAGTCTGCCACATGCCACCAGAGGCTATCGGTTATGGACCTTGATTTAGAAATAAGAGACAGCCATCTAGGATAGTGAACTTAAGTGAAATAAACTGCAAGATATGGGCGAAGTTGGGGTTTGGTGGATGAGAGAGAGAGAGCCTACACCAGCAAGGAATACGTTTACAGGGTAGCCATCTTTTGTTCACATCTTTTACACGTTTTAAACTTTAGTGCCATAGCATTTTAATTATCTAAACTTCAAAAAAATAAATTGCACCCAGGTCAGCAGCTTAACCTTTTCACAGGCTAACACCAAATTTTCAGTCACCATGCCTTCTCCAATCAAACCCACCAGGTTTCCTAAAACATAATTTCCCACCAACTGCCTTTGTTAAGACATTTTGTTCAATCCATCTTAAGGATAAATAAAGCCTCTGATATAGCACATAAAAATCCTCTCACTCAAGAAACAAGGAGGCTGCCATTGGTGAGTGGCCTCTGCAATCCACAAACCAATCCCATGGACATCACCAGCACAAATGGTCCAACTGCGCATTACAGCTAGTCAGCATTCGAGGGACATCTCTAAATTCATCCAGTGAACTTCTGAGTTTCCCCCGGTCTTGATCCCACCAAATTGACCATCAAGACCTCAGACATTTTCACACAATCCTATCACAAAGTTAGCCAATGACTCAAAGCCCATAACACCTCTGCCCTAACAGTCAGATAAAGAGGTGAGGTAATAATTACAGCTCAAAACTGAATAACTCTTTCACAGTCAAGAATCAAATTTATAACTGCGAAATTAACTGTACATACACCAAAGATAATGGCACCAAAATGAAAAACAAAAAAGAAGGGATGGCTGATAACAAATTTATGTTCCAAATACCTTTTTCTATATGATGAGTGAATCATGTAATGATTCCATAGAATGTCTTTAAATAATGAAAATTTTGGCGCCTTACATTTTGTAATCTTTACAATTGAGCAAAAGCGGGTGCAGACCCATGTTAACAGGAAATATAAACATGACAGGAACTGCACTATCACCCCTTAGACACACCTATATAATGCATTACTCTCTCACTTAGACGTCAAAAATTAAAATTTTAAACCGAACTGCCGTTTAAAGAGAATCAAAAACAACCATACACCTGCCTATTGGTAAGATTCAGGAATATTGGATTCAAAATCATCCTGGAAACTTGAAGACATTTTTAACAGTAAATCCAGTTAAAGAAGCCATTTTTTTTTGTGATGAGATGTAGCTGCTTGACAGCACCAAATTCCAATTTATATTATTCCAACTGATCCCATCTTACACTAATTGAATCGCAAACTATATCAAAACTCCTCCCCCACCCCCCAAAAAATGTAAAAAAGATAAATACCGAGTCGTAACTTAAAACCCTAGAGTATATAACGTTAACAAATCCAGCTACAATATTCTGTGTTCCTTTCTCACTAAAAAGATTTCGTCATCAGATAAACTGAAACACACTTCAAGAATAAGTGAAGAAAACAATAAATCACAAGGATCGTATAAGTCGGTCACGTACATAAATTTATAACTAAATAGCAGCCCATACAATTCAAAGTCGGGAAGGGACTGTACCAAAGAGTGCAGATATTCGGCCTAGGCAGATGGAGTGGCGGTGGAGGAGGAGATGGAGATGAGATGCAGAGGAGCAAGAGATGTCGAAGGTTCGAATTGAGAATGTTAAAAGAGAATTCTTTAACCTTATTTTGATGACAAGAGCAAGAACAGTTAAAAAATTATTTTTCCTCTGAACCATTTTTACCCACATTTTGTTGGAAAAATAATTTTATACATAAACCCATAATTATATCTTACATTCTAAAAAAATCATATTCCATGAAATCTATTTTTAAAAAATTTACATAAGTGTGCATCCGAATGGCATTGCAGGTTATTGTATCAGTTCGAGAGTTTACCCAGTGCACACTCGAATAATAACAGCTACGAGTAACCTGTCATTAAAAAAAATAAAAAATAATAAATAAATCTACATTCCTTAATTTTCAATTTAAAAATGTAATTACTTCAAAATTGTTATTGCTATTTCTTTCTCCGTAGTTATGTTCTAAACATTCAATTAATTATCATATTTTCTACCTAATTACGTTTCTATCCAAATATTTTATAAGTATGCTTTTGTAAAGCTTTTGTATTTTGTATTCTTATATTATTTAAAATTCAATGGACAAATATATCTTTTTATGCCCTTTAATTGCTTTTTTGGGTAAAAAATTGTCATTAGGAATGAGATGCGCTAATTAATAAAAGTTGAGGACAATAGTAAAATAAAAAAATAAAATAAAATTGAGGAGATAAGAGCAAAAATCGAGATCTTCATTGCAATTAAACCGAGTACATTCAATATAAAAACTGTGACATGAACAAATTAAAGGGCTAATTTTGTTACTGGTCCCCTGAAATTTTAGTGTCAGTTATCCACTATGCTTAAATTTGTTTCAAACTCATTATTTTTACAAAATACTAGTTTTCCACCCGTGCAATACACTGGATCAATAAATTTACAAATTTGATTAATTGTTTAAAATGATGAATGAAAATGTAATATTCATATATGACACACACTCTGCATCATCATATATTATTATTACATTACAGATTGTTGCTTAGCAACCTATTAGAGAACTGAAAAGAAAACAAATTTCATTCATATGGTCGATGTGCAATGCTATCATTGGACGAAATGCAATCGGATATATATATATATATAATATTGCGATGGTAATTTATATATATTAAATTTTTTTTATGCCACATATATATTTTTTTATAGATGTTGTGTAAAGAAATGGGGAAAAGTAGGAAAAATAGTATAACAATTAATATAACTTATAAAGTGATAATAATTTTATTAGGAATTTTTATGTCCAAAAAGAAAACTAATTGACGTCACACAAATAATTTTTTTTTTTAAGAAAACGATGTAAATTATAGTGAAAATTATCGCAAAAAATAATAAACATTAATACAATAATTATTTTTTTAAAGAAAAAAGACTAGTTATACGCATTTTTTAATACACGCGTTTGATGTACATTTAACTATTTTGGATATTCATTTAGATCATTCAATATGTCTATAATATAATTCTTGAAATGAGTTTCGAAATAATATAGAAGATTTATGGTAGATTTTTATAAAAAATAAATAAATAGATTACCCAGTGAAAAAAAAAATTGACACAAAAAAGATATCAACCATTCAATGACCAAAATAATAATAATAAAAATAAATTGACACAGAGCATCATTTAAAGAAAAAGACATATTGTTGCACATGCTCCATGACACGGAGCATTGTGCTGTAATATTTTTTTCCCTTTTTCTTTGGTGATTGATATATTTTTTATATAAATCTATTTTAACCTTATAACGTGATACGTAGTATGTTGAATCATGTATATTGTTTATTTCTTAAAAGCAGTTGCGATAAATCAAAGTAAAATTTAACACAATGTTGAAAAAACTTAATACTCAGTCGAAAAGATGTCGATTAATTTATTAGACGATATTAAATATTTTAGATGTATATAAATTTTGGAGGATTAAATTCAAATATATCAAAATTAGGTGATTAAATAAAAATCTCAACCCCATTTAAATGACAAAATATTATACTGTGGTTCAGTTTGTGTTTGACTCCATTAATTTATTTATTTTTTCATTTTTCTCTCTTTTATTTTCAATCGCAGAATCTTCCACAAAATAATATTACACGTAAATAAAAAACATTTTCATTAAATCGGTTGGATAATGAACAATAAAAAAATATCGATTAATTACATGATTTAATTATATTGAATATAGTTATTATGTCTTTCATATATAAAATAACCATTCAAACTAAAATAATTTGGGTTTTTAATCCATGCATCAAGGGAACATTTATCATATTCCCAGGAAATATGTTTCAATTATATCAACACAAAATTGAGGTCAACTAATTTTTCATCTTGATTATTTTAACATTTGAAAATTTTTTATATATAAAAGAAATTCGATCCTTTTTAGGAATTTTTTTCTTATTTTTACTTTTTCCTTTATATCAATTAATTTTTTAAATAATCTAATAAAATTTTTGACTTCATTTAGAAAATTTCCTAATAAACTTTAAAAAAGTCAAAAGAGACATCATTTAAAAAATTAAGAATTTCGATAACAAGTTAACTTTAAAATTTATCGACGATTGTATGGTGATCAAATGCATAAATTTTCTATATTCTCTCGAAACTCATTTCGAGAATTATATTATAGACACGTCAAATGATTTAAATTAATATCGAAAATAGTTAAATGTACATTAAACATGTGTGTTAAAAAATGTGTATAACTCGTCTTTTTTCTTTAAAAAAAATCAATTATTTTATTAATGTTTATTATTTTTTCGCGACAATTTTCTCTATAATTTACATCATTTTCTTAAAAAAAAATACTACATGGTATGACGTCAACTAATTTTTTTTTTTTTTTACGTAAAAATTCAAATCAGACAAAACAGCAGCACCACACGCGTATGAAGACCATTAGTAGTGATTTTAGGAGTGAAGTAAAATATTATGGGATATTCAAGGGTAAAACGGAGAAACACAAAATATGTCATGAATGAATAGTGCTCGCCACATTCTTTCTTTTATTAAAGCGAGGATTTTCACCAAAAGTCGAGGAGGCGATTTTGTGTGAGAAAGGAAACAACAGGGGCGTGTGTGTGAAGGATTTCTAAGTTCCAGCAAATGATTTCGAATTTTTTTCAATGATTGAATCAATGAGACAAAATGAAGAGAAATTAGGTAACGGAATGTTTTGTTTTCTTTTGAAAAGAGAATGAATCAAACTCTTTAGATAGCACACTATTTTTGACTTTTTGTCAAGATGGAGAGATATTTTGTCTACATACAAAAAGACCATTAGACCTTTAGTGTGAGAGTAACTATGTGAGGGAGTTCATGATAAAATAGGAAACACCTAAATACGTCATGAATGAACAGTAACTGACTGATTCGCTCTTTTAAGATAGTAGTGATTTCATGTAAATCATTTGGTCAATGTGACGTCCATTTTTTAATTAAAAATCAATTGTCCATGTTTCAAGTCATAGGATTAATTGAGAAATATAACATTACATGTCTTCACACATGAACGCATAGGATTTTTCTGTTGAAAAATGGATGTCAAATTAAATAAATTGAAATTCCGTGACTGAGTGTAAAGTTCAATTATCATCAATAAAATTAACTCTATTATTAGAAGTAACTTTGGAGTTAAAAGTGAGTAACTCTCTAAAGAAAAGTCTACTTGTATATAATTTTTGAACATAAATGTGTCCACACTCTTCACATGGGACGGAGGGTATACAATAATTATGCACCTCTAACAAAACCCACTCTCTATACTCACCTTTGCAAATAGTCAGGCTGCTGGAAATTTACGGAAAATTTCACGTTGATCTCCTTAATGTACTATTCTTACGCATTTAGTCACTAAAATTAATTAACCTTATACTATTGATCCTTAAAGTATTTTATTAACTCATTTTGTAACTAAAGTAATTAATGTGACACCATTAATCGCTCTAATAAAGATAAACCATATATAAAATTAAGGAAAAATTGCAGTAGAGGCCTCAAACCTTTAAAATATTAGCAGACTTTTCCGCAATCTTTAATTTGTTGCCATCATCACCCCAAACCTTTCAAAACGTTGTGGCAGATGCCATTTTGGACGATTTTCATCCAAATGTCTGTTAGTTGACTAAGAATTTTGACTTTAACCATATTTTTAATATTTTTGAAAGGGTAAAATAGTAACTTTCATTTATTACATTAAAATAAGTTAGAAATTAAATTAGAAAAAAAATAAGAAATAAGGGGAAAAAAAAAAGAAAGCCAATAGTCTTCTTCCTTCCACCCCATCTCCATCTCCACCTCCACCTACACCTCAAACCCAAAATCCATTATCGTGAGGTTCGCCACCTCCACCTTTGCCACCTGAGAACACTTTGTTCCTACACCGGAGAATAGAAGTTCTAGAGCTATAACAATTGTGGAATATGTAATATAATCTACTGACGATCATAGTCCAATGGAAGGAAAACTGGATTAAAATTCAAATTTTCCAGTTTAATGTCATCTTATTTTGTTCTTCAATAGAATCTCCCTCAACTCGGCGGCGTCAATCTCTTTGGATTTACTTTTCGGCCTGTAATATCTGGTGACTGGATCCAACACCCACGAGGATTTGGTCAATTCTTTCTCCCCTTTCTTCAACATCACATCGAAGCCCCTCCCCTGACACTGTTGGACACACCACTCTGTGATGATACCGCCACATATCCCCTTCGGTACAAAAAAAAATCACAACCGATCAAAATTTTACACCAATCTATAAATCAAATTTCAAAATCCGATTAAAAAAGCCAAATGTCTATAAGCTTGGAAGGAATAGACACACGTGGAGGTAGAGGTGACAATGCTGGTGGTGGTAATTGATTTTGGATTTGAGGTGGGGTGGGAGAAAGAAGATGATTGAATTCTTTTTCCTTTTTTCTTTTTTAATTCATTATTATTATTTAATTAAAATTCTAACTTATTTTAATGTAATAAATGAAAGTTACTATTTTATCTTTTCAAAAATATTAAAAATATGGTCAAAATCAGAATTCTTATCAACTAACATACATCTTGATAAAAACCATTCAAAAGGACCTCCACCACAATGTTTTGAAAGATTTGAAGTGACAGTTGCAACAAATTAAAAATTTGAAAAAAACCTACTAATGTTTTAAAGATTTCAAGCCTCCGTGCAATTTTTCCTAAAATTAATTTTCATGTGATTAGCAAAACAATGCATTAAACCCATATTTGATTCCTTTTGCTTTACATTAATTTATTTCTCATACTTATTTTCAACCACATTCACAGAATAAAATATTGTACACGTAAACCCAAAACTTTTTCCTACTATTTAACCATATAGTCTCCTAAAAAACCAATATTCAAAACATTGTTTTTTGAAAATAATTACCACCAAATAGGGGAATTTCATTTAAGTTTAATGTTTCTAACAAAGAAAGAGACTGGAATGAAGATAATCTCTGTTCGCAAGTTCCTTTTCAACCAACCATTTGGATCCAATTCGCTTGTTGGCCTCGAAGGGAATTCTCAAGATATTTAAAAGCCAACCACCAGACATCTCACTCCATTTTCTCCGACTCTTTCAAGTATCACCTCCCTGTTGGAATATTTACCATCATTCCTAGAACACAATTGCAGGATAATCCACGGAAAATCAAATTCAAACCATCTTCTATCTTCAAAATAAAATTATACAGCTATATGTCAAATCATGACGCTCAAAATGGTTCCCGATCAATTCGCAGTTATATTAATGGAGCCCCATTGCATCCATGGAGATTCCCCAATGAAAGCTACCTTCTTAAAGCACCGTAATTTCTAGTTACCTGCAAATAAAAACTTGATAAGTTAATTTCAAAAGTATTTCACAGACGTAAATATGCGATCTGTACAAGAAATAATAGAAGAAACATTAGCAAACTGTATATCATTCGCCTTCCATCCCTCCATGTTAACTTAAGCTATAGACTGATCTCCAGGGGACAGAAACTAAAGGGACTCTATTTCATTTGAATCATCAATATATGCTCTAATAGTTGTCGACATATTGACCTTTTAAAATGAACAAGATAGAGAAATATTTGCAGCACTCTGCCTAAACAACTAAGCCCTTGTTTGGGCTGCATTTTAATGAAAATTTAGGGGAAAATGAGTTTTAGAACAGTGATTTTTTGAAGAATGTGTGGTTAAAAGATAAGAATTTCTTTTCGATTTATGGGTAATATTATTTTATGGGAGAATGTACGATTGACAATGAGTTTTGAAAAATATGAGTTTTTGAAAAAATGTTGGCCAAACATAGGCTAAATGTTTAACTACAAACTTCTAAGAGATCACTCTGGGACTCCCATTGCTCGGTTAGCAAGTATACCATAATCCAATAGTGTTCTCTGCTGCATTTTAAGAAGGTACTGATTCAACTCCAAATTACTAGAACCATTGTTAATGATCACCAAAAGTTGGGTCCTCCGCAATTTTCCTAATGCTCCCGTGCTCTCTGAAAATGCAGCTTCTTGAGATTGATTATTTATAATACACGAGTCTTAGCTGCTCTCAAGATTATATTATTAAAAGCCAAGTATACAAAGATACTAAAACAGAATAGATCATGTTAGTGCGAACTTGAAGAATACTATGGATGAAACTGGATATGAAGACACAATTTCAGATTACCAGGCAACATGGGATAAATGGCACTGCACTTGGTTCCCATAACTAGGCTAGTTAGTATATATGGGTGAACTAATCTAGAGCAAAATACATAAAAATGTTTTATGTAGAAGAACACCACATACCGGAGGTTTAGGTTTATTAACTTTCTTTGTCACATCATCATCGTCGTCATCGTCATCGTCGTCGTCGTCTCTACTCATGAGCAATCTATTAAGCGAAGATGAAGAGTTGTCTGATTTCCTCCCCCTTTTAGCAGTTGAGGTAGAGCCTCTACCCCTTCCCCTTGGTGCAGCTCTTTTTCTTCCTTTTCCTTGGAGAGCTTCACCGCCATCCTTTGGATAAGAAGCACAAAATACAATATTCAAAGGATGGACAGGAAACAAAACCTTCTAAGAAAGAGAGAATGGATTTAAATTAAAAAATAATAATTCCATACCGAGCTGTCATCAATATCATTAACATCAAGTTTAGCTGTTTCATCATTCGACTCTGAATCCACTACATCTTCATTATCAGCAATACTTCGAACTGATGCTGATGCAGCAGCTGAGGCAGACCTACAACAACGTCACTTAAAATATGTATTGGAAGAAAAATAAACAATGGGATGAAGAATTAACAAACACTTAGCACTGGTTTAACTTTAGCTCTGAGTTTAACGATTGAGACAAACCTTTGAGAATGACGGAAACCCATCACTGAATCTAATGTTGTCTGCTTCGATGTACTGGAACCCCTGCCTCTTCCTCTGCCTCTTCCCCTTCCTCTTGACGTTGTCTTTTCAACTATGGAAACATCACGAGAGGACCTAAAAGATTGTGATGTCTCTTTTCTGCCCCTTCTGGTAGACTTTCCACCAGAGAATGGTGTAGCGTCCTCATCATCACTGAAGGAAACAGCACTTCCAATTCCCCCAGTACTTTTACTTCCACCCTACGTTAAAATTAATGCATATGACTTGTAATGATTACATAAGGGCCATGAGAAACACAAAGCCCTAAAACCAATTCTTGCATGTTGAGCTAGAATATAAAGAATACCTGCAATGACTGTTCGCTAAACGTGAACTCTTGACCATCTTTTGACCTTGTTCCTCTTTCTTTGACACGTGCCTGTATATAATCACATCAAGTTTTCTCCCACAGTAGAAGTGATTTTACAGCTGTCTGATCACACTGAAGACCACCAGTCTAAAAGTAACATATTGCAATACAATATAAATGATCTTTATATTTACTTTCCTGTGCTAGAAATTTCAAAATAAGCATAACCAGATTTTAATTTTGGGCCTTGTGGTAGAAGAGAGAAGAAGATTTTGGAAGGGACTAGGTCGGGGAAGGCACCTTTAACCACAGGAACTAGTTTTCTCTACACCAACTAAATTTCATTGTCGGCAATGAATCTACCACCTCTTTTGGTTAGCATTCATAATTATAGACCAATACACACTACACCGAGGTCAATCTTATTTGTATGCATAACGATGTCCCTCCTTGTGAAACTAAGCCAGCGTTGTGATTATTAGTATGATTGACTTCTCTCCATTTATATATCAAGATGGAAAATCCACGAAAGGGCTTTCAGACAGCATGACATACTTGCCAGGACTGCCAAATAACTCTGTAGAATATCTGTTCATATTCAAGTATCCTTACCTACATCATATGTAAGGACGTTACAGAACAATTCAAACTGCTCCAGGATATTAGGAATATGTTTTCAAAGAGACTTCAGTGGAGATATTGAATGATGCAGTTAAACCAGGTCTTATAATGGAGCTAACAGATAATGCTCACAAGGGGATGCCAGCAAACCCCACCCGATTCAAAGACATGTTACTGTGTTTTTTCCCCCATAGCTGCACATACATGGCCTAACCCGATTCCAAGACATGTTATTGTATTTGTTATTCATAGCTGCATATACATGGCCTAAATCAATAGCAAACACAAGAAAGGACATGAGAAAAGAGAAACTAAGTTCTTGCCTCTAAGCATTCTCCAACTCTAACAATTACATCTTCATCTCCAAACTTCTGATTCTCTGAATCCCTTGCAATTTTGTTCTGTTGAACCAGAGAATTTCGAATTACTAGAACAATCAGGTCAGTTATAAACAAAGATCAATAAGCAAGCAATCAAAACAATGGTGACAAGAATAAGACTACTGCTGATTATCATATTGAAGTGCTCCAACATGCACAGGAAAATTCTGTGACCAATATGAGGATAGGATGTCGAGCACTCACACGAGTTTCTTCGATGTTGTATTGTACACAAGAATAGAAAGCCATTTTGTCATCCTTACTAACAAAATTGTGTAATGCAACATCCAGATCATTGACGGGGAGTATCTCCATTTTCTGCATATATAGAAGTATAAGTGGATTTACCAGAGATACAAAAAGTAAAACGCATGAGAGCTCTAGCGACACTCAAATTGCAGAGTCCTAATACTCTGAAGGGAAGAAGAGTCGAGACTTAATCTTATACCAGGTTACTCTCAGCAACCAACGCTTCAATATTTTGCTGATTCAGTTCTTCTGGTCGGAGCCGTTCAGAATCATCAATTTTATCAACTGCAAAATAAATGTTCATCTCAGCAACCTCAAAGCAGTTAAAGAAAAAAAATAATGAAAAAATCTTCAACAGAAAAAAACAAAAAGACAATTTTCTTTGTGTTAATAAGCATGTCATTAAATCTAGAGCATAAAGCTGAAGGTTGGACAGAACTATACATATAATACAGGGTAGTGCTAAATTTCAATTTTAATAGAGTAAGGCAATCAAGCCTTCCCAAAGTGTATTGCTAAAGTAATTTGAGTAGTACTAACGTGATTAGGAACAAGCAGTAATATACACTTCTCATAAGCTAAATAATCAAAAGAATACTTCATTTTGAGTTTAAATGCTTGATTTGATGGAAGAAAATGGTAAATCTAAGAACACAGCTCACATAAAAGTTTCAATAGTTGTGATGAGTATATTAAAAATAATTAAAACAAAACATTTCAGTTATCCCTTGAAAGCTAACATGTGATTCAGCTTAAACGTATTCAGCCAGGGAAATGAAAAGTAAAATATCAGCAGCTAAATAGATATTAAATTACCTTCACCACGACCTTTTCTTGATGCTTTTGAGAATATAAGTATATCCTGAGGATTAGCTACCTAGAAATTAAAATCAGTCTTGTAAGTTATTCCCTATATATTCATAGGGAAAGAAGGGATTGGGAGAATTTTCCTTCCTTTTTATGAACATAAAAAACAAAAGAAGGAGGTACCTTTCCAACAAATTTTTGCCCAAACCTTTGTGGATTTATCGTCATAAACCCGGAGTAATCTACCTGTTCAATCCAACGGTAAAATATTGGGAAAATGAAATATTTCGGAACTGATAAACCACGAAAGAAAACCATGTGCAGTTAAAAGTTGTTAAAACAGAGAAAACTAACACCTTCACTCGAACTAAGGGAAGTTTGAGTTCGGATCTGTCAATAACCTTTTGGCAAGACTTTTCTATCAGATTTCTGACCTAAAACAACTCAAAGATTAAAAACAAGTAAAGGCATCCAAACCCAGTATGAAATACAACTTCAGCAACAAAAGAAATTGAGAAGAGAAAATAGTTCACCTGTGAAAAAATAGATAACAAGAAAAATAAAAGGATAATATTATCTTACCACTTTGTCCAAATGTTCAAGGATTGAATTCTGATCATTAGGATCAATATCAGGCTCATCTTTTAATACTACCTGCAAATAGAATATTGATTACTTCAAATAGAAGTTCATTCACTACTAGACTGAGAAATGAATCTACCTCCACATATTCAAAGGGCCTCACTGAGTTGAGAGGTATCTTGGTTGGCCGATATTGATTCCCCTAGTTGTCAATAGGTATCACAAATATGAAGTAAATTAACAAATTCAGAAAAGAAAGAAAGGCAGTGTGAATTAATAAAAAAAGGCAGAAAGATTAAATGAAAGGAAAAGGTAACAGATTCAAGAATGCAACCTTAATCTCTAGAAGAAGCACGTGTTTTGGCTTTGATTCACCATCAATCAGTGACGTTGCGACAGATGAACCAGGTTGCGTAATGTGGAAACCCATGCCTGGAACTTCCTGTAACCCAAAGATTTTAACCAGAAAATGATTGGAGAGAGAGAGAGAGAGGGTGGGTGGAGGAGAAGGGGCAAAAAAAAAAATGGAAAAAAGAAACCTAAGCAGAAAGGAACCTGAGGATCAACCAGGCATTCATGTTCATGTCCCCAGACGATAAAATCCAAAAATCGCGGCAAGAAATGCTCATTTATGGCATTTTTAGGATTCATCTTCACTCTGAAAGAACATACCAATATCTGGCCATTAAGTTCCTTCTTCAAGAATGATGTTCTTCAATGTCTCTATCATCATCCATTATACAATAGAAAGATGGAATTATTACCTGTTTTGATGAAGTACTAGTATGTTGAACCAATCTGAAACTTGATGACCTTCTTGAGCTTCGGGTCGCATCCATTGCACTGCATGTGGCGTCTAGCAGGTCAAGATACATACTCGATGAGTGATTCTGTGAAGGCATTTATCAAAAAAATCAGAATCAAGCAGCAAACTCACTGATACCTGAAACATTCGATTCAGACGCTCGTCTCTGATATTCCCAAGGCCATAAAGAGCTATAGATGTTGAGCCCTATGAATCACAAATCCAAAGTATTTTATGCAAATGCCACAACTCAATCAATCATGTGAAATCCATAACCAAACCTTCTTGATAAGAATCGGGTAGAGGGTGATCTGCCCAACTCCTGAACCTTCAAGAACCATTTTTCCAAAATAGTTCACAAGATTACATGCTGAAAGGATATCGACCGCAGAAAGATTGTCCTGCCACAATAGTCATCGACATTGGCCCCCAAAACAGTCTCTCAGATATTATAGAAATTTCGAATATATAATATGATCATAACAACAATTGCACGAGACAGAAAAATGTTTGGTGTTATTAAATACTTAGACAAAAAAATTTACCAAATTAATGTGATTAGACCCAGCCAACTGAAGGATGTGATGAGAGAAAACGAGGGGTTTAAACAGGCATCTGAGTACTTTCTCAAAGGAATTATACAAGAGAATGTAATTTGTAACTAGCCTAAAACACGAGGCTTACAGTCAGATCTGTATAAATATTTTTCTTTGGTTAGACTATTAATTTTGACAGAGAAATTAACACTTTCAGAGCAAGAGAAAATGTTTTGTAACTGGCACCGAATTCTTCTAGAGACACAAATGCACAGTGTTTGCCATATAATCCTCACCACTCCAGCAGGATCATCATGATTTCCATGTATGCTGAAAACTGGTAATCCGACATTGAAGTGAGGATCTTCGTAGTTCACGTGTCCAAATCTGCTTGATGAAAATAGGCATTTTACAAATTCAATAATGATGTGAAAAACAACAAACAGACTACTCAGAATCATTAAAGACCATAAACAAACATAAGAAGATGAAAACATTTGCATCAACAGTCAAAATAAGAAGAGAATATCAAATCAGAATAATAAAGAACGAAATCCAAAATAAAGGAGAAGACATGAGGTTCACCCATTTATAAAAATTGTGCATTTGTTAGGCTTTTGATAAAAAGTGACTCATGTCTGCACGTGAATGGCATACCGTGTCTCGTCCGACTTAATCTTTTAGATGAGGTGCAAAACATGGTAATAGTACAGGTACAAGCAATGTTTAAAAAGCCTTGAGGCCATTCGAGGCATAAAATAAAATAATTCAAAAGAATATTAAAACTAAAAGTACAAAATACGCTTGTGACAAGCTATATACCATCTTAAAATCCATAATATATAGTCCTAATTGTCTTTCATTAAATCAAAACTCTTATTCTCAAAGTCATTTTCAACCACGTATTTACACAATAAAATATTTTACATGTAAACCCAAAACATTTTCGTACTTTTTAACACCAAATTCTTCAAAGAATCACGATTCAAACTCATTTTTATTAAACACTGGGAACAACCGTAGAAGTACTTATGCAAGTCTCGTCGCCACCTTTTCACAAATGTTGTCCGCATGTCAAGCCTTTGATTTAATCTAACGGAAGAGATTTGAACTTCGAGAGCCCCTAATCTCTTCTTCCTCCAATCTTCATATCCCTCAATCCACACTGTCCATTTATGTTATCATAAGAAAACTGTAGATAGACATCACTTCTCCAATTCTTGAATTTCCTTGTACAATCTGAATCTAATAGATTCAGAACAAGACAACTTTTTGATAATTAGCTGACTATTAGCAGCATTCTAGGAGAGACTAAAAGAAGATTTTGCACATGTCAACAATGTTAGAAGAAGTGGTTTGTAGCGGGTGAGAAAGTAAAAAACCAAAAGGAAGAGGATAATGAGCTGCAAATGTGAACGACGAGAGTAGTGGGAATCTTAATAAGGAGAATGGATGACATGATAGAAGTAGAAATAACAATTACAGACATGGTCAATTGAACAGATTGTGGTATAATTAAGTTTCAAGAATTAATATTTGAAGTCTCAGCTACACGAAATGAAGAATCCACTCCTTGATTCTTGCCAGCGTGGACAAAATAAAGCTATGGAGCTAGACCATTCAACATCCTATGATGATGTCAGAGAGCTATGTGAAAAAATAGAAGCTTTCGAAAGAGAAAACTTCTAGTGGAATTACAAACTCTGAGTGCTGCAGAGGAGGCTCTAAAGAACCTTGGAGCAGCACACTTGGAGGCAGATACAAAAGGCACAAGAGCTTTCTACCAAACTTGCTGAAACTCCACAGAAGATGGATCAAGATATAAAAAGCATGACAAGAAGTATAATGAACTTGATTCCAAGATCAACAGGCTTCACAAAAAAGCAAAGCAATGTACTCGAGGTGCAGAAGGAAAAAGATGATTTTGAAACCCAATTTCATGAAATTAAAGAGAAAGCTGACAGAGCATCATCATGGTCGTCAGCATTGCAGCAAAAGCTGGTGCGTACATGCCAGTGCACTAATGAAGCGCCAGAAGCAATGATGTAGAAACGCAACAATAGTGTAGTGCAAGCAACTCCAGGACAGCATTGAAGATCTTTGAAATGCGATGAGGCATGAGCTTTACTCTTTTTGCTATATTACCACATTATACAACATCATCCAAAAATTTAAGCTATTAGAGAGAAGACAGGTATATGTCTTTAAATTTAGTCTTCAACAAATGAACTTGAGCTATGGCCCAAATTATGCTACAGCTATGCTGCTACTGGGACTAACGGGATTTGGAATTCGATGATGATTTACCACAGAGACAAAAAGAATTCAACTAAAAAATGCAAAAGGAACTTTCGAAACAGTTTCTAGGCATACGAAGTGTCAACTTCAGATAAAAAAGATGAGAGAAAACAGGATATAATTTTGTTCATAGAAAAAAAGAAAAAAGACCGAACATTACGAATTTGCAAAGTTCACTGTCTGGTCACTGACAACTTGAAACTGCACTGGTTGATTGTTGAGACAATGGCGGCGAAGAATTTCAATGGCTTTCACTAAAGTTGACCTTGATGGCTTATTCTCATGGAAAAGATCGCCACCAAGAAGTAAGAAATCCACCTAACATCAGTTCACTTAAAAATTATGATAAAGTAAATGTTCAACAATTACTTAATTACAAGCACATAAAGTTACAATTGACAAAGTAACAAAAACATTGCATGTAAAAGCATATTTAAGCGTGAGAATTCATTAATCGGTTCATGATCCACCTATTTTCTGAAATTTCAACTTTACTTGAGACTTTTATTGAGTTTGAATACTATATATGGTTATGAAACAAAGTCAACATATCAAGAAGAATGTAAAGATGTATTATGCAAGTGCAAGTACCTGTTTTTGCTCCGCAATTGAACATATCTCTTCAAAAGCCTGAAATGAATCATGCCTGCGGATTTCATCCTTCTCCATATAACCAAGGTGACAATCAGTAGCCACTAATATTCGCAGCACATCGCTAGTACCTTCCCTGCGAATTTTAAAAATAAACTGAAAACATATTTCACCTTAAATGGTTCCCATACATAAGTAGAACAACTAATACATTCAGACCATTTAATTTGCAGATTATTAAGAAAATATTAATTTCAATTGCATTGTTAAAACGAATACTTAGCTTTTCCCTTTTACATTACCTTGACGAATCGGTCATTTGGAGAAAGTTTACCTTAAACCTGCCAATAAAAAGCCGAAATATGTTTCAAAATCCAAAATAAATAATTTTAACAGTATAGTATAAAAACCCTAGGTCAAACATTTAATACCAAATATACGCCGTGTTCAGGGGGAAAAAATCGCACCAAACTAGAGAAAGAGAGATAATGGATTCAGCGATGAATAAAGGAAAAAAAAAAAAAAAAAAGGAGTTTCAGTTGCCAGAGAACGGATTTGAAGGAGGCGATGAGCTCCACCAGTGGAGCTAAGTACTAGAGGAGTGGCGGGGAATTTAAAAGAACGCCGAAAATAATGGCCAGGTACCACTGTTACTGTGTTACTGCCCGCACTTGCGCTTGGATTGAGGATGGGGGGTTTCTTGCTCTATTGGATGACGCGGTAAATAATATAAATAATTTATTAACGAAAATGGTAAAGATCTTTCATCGGTCCAACAACTTTTCTACCACTTATTTCAAAAACTTCTATTATAATTTACCAAAAAACCTAATTTTAATTCTTATCAAAAATAAAAAATTACAATTAAAATAATAAAATAACAATCAAAAAATTAATTTTTGGGAGTGAAAAATCACTTCCAATCACCGTCTTGATTGATAAATTTGTAAAGAATCTCATCCATTAGCTTATAATTATATAAAGGTCAAGATTTATTCTACTATTACCAACCGAACTCCCTATCCATGTTTCAAAACATATCAATATTGATTTTATAACCCCCTGCACTTTTGAAATCAATAGCTAACTCTCTTCTCTCTAACGAATGATTTTCAAACCACCATCGC